ACCAGGTAGTCTTGACTACTGTGACTGTATAAACCAAAAAAAAAAAAAAAAAAAAAAAAAAACAACTCCCAAAGCTTAAACTGAACCAGAATAGTTAGTTCCACACTTCAAAGCTGCTATCAGCATTGTTTTTGCCCATGGTGTTTAGGGAGAGTCACTCCAGTGATCTCAATAACCACTCAACTCTGGGCTCTATGCATGCCCAGACTAAGCCCCATCGCCTTATTCCTGGGGTACATCCAGACCTGGCAGGGATTCTGCCACACTGTGCAGCAAACCAGCATGTAGGCTGGGATGGGAGAGCAAGAGATATAGCCATCAGTAGTGATGGGGCTTCTTCACAGTAAGACCATCAGAGCTCAGATTGAGGGTCTTTTTCCAAAAACAAGGATTGTTCATCTTATACTAAATACTATTGTCTGCCCTGCTGCAGTCACCAAAACAAACCCAAAAAAGCAAAATCATACACCTACCTATAGTTGTCAGGCTGCCTTTGTCAAAGGAAGGAATAGCAATGCATTTTTCCTTGGATGAAAGTTACATTTCTGGAAACTTTCTTAGAGTGCTCAAAATGTTAATGATGTTTCCATGTCTGCAATTAGCCAGTTCCAGGTCAAGGCCTACCTTCAACAAAATTGCTCCCAGAAGTTTTCTGCCACCAGAATGCCATTCCTGATTCCAGCTCTTATTTTTTGGCCGCCATGATAACTTCTTTGGTTTCTCAACTGAGCATGCAACCATTTATTTAAAGGACTATCATTATGAGTAGATATTTTCGCGGGTTGTGTGATGTGTTTTCCATTTAATAGTATTGCTGTGGCTGAGTACAATCAAATTGAACCACCAACCTTTGGTTTTGTAGTAACATAATTATTTATTTTCCAAGTGTAGATGCTTCCAGATTAGAATTGGCATTTGCACTGATTTTTTTATGTAGATTTATATAAATATATATATACATATATATTTGCTTGAAGAATCACCAAGCACATTGGTGAGAGGGTCTTTTCCTATAGAATTTACACCTTCATTTGTTGTGTTGTCTTGCGCTTCCCAATGTTGAGGTCTCTATGGCTCCAGTGAATTGGTGTATTTTGCAACAAATCTGACAACTTGTATGGAAATGGCATGACAGTTACCCAGATTACATCTGGTGCAAATGCACTTGGAGCCTGGGGCCAGACTGGTGCTAACACTGCAAACTTTGTCGGGAGCTCTCTCCAATCTGAAGGCTTGCTGGGGGCGCAATGTCACCTTCACATGCTGGGCCCTTTCTGAAAAGTGCCAGATCGTGTCACTGGTGCTATTTTTCATGCTCTGGTACAATGTGTAGCACCATGGGGGTCTCAGCTTTACCAAAATCCAAATTCAGATCCCATATATCAGCTAATGGCAAGGACCCTTTTTTTTTTTTTTTCTTTTGCTCTCCTCCACAAGATTTGTTGGTCATTGCTTTGCAGGCCTTTTCTTCAACCTCAAAATTTGTGGGTTGGCTAGAAATGCTTAGGGAGCCCATCTACAAAGCCACACTCAGGTGCCTCTGTGAGCTGTCTTAGATTCTACAGCCAGCCCTTCAGGACCATGAGCCAGTGAAAAGCCCTCCCCCTCCTGGCTCACACCACTGTTAATTTTTCATTCTTTTTCTCTCTCTCCTCTCCTCCTTCTATTTGTATATTCCACCCAACTTTTCTATATTCATTCTATCTTTTTTGTACCTCTCCTTTAATCTTTTCACCCTTCCTCTTTTCTGATTTGCTTTCTCCTATAGTCCTTCTTTAGGAGCTCTGGCGGCATAGTGCATTAGGCACTTGACTGCTAACCAGAAGGCTGGCGGTTCAAACCCACCAGCCACTCCTCGGAAGGAAGGTTGGGCAATCTACTCCCGTAGTGATACTGCCTCGGAAACTCAAAGAGGGGTCGCTATGAGTCAGGTTCGCCTCGATGGCAGTGAGTTTGGTTTTGGTTTTGTATAGTCCTTCTTTAGTCCCTCCCCTTCATTACTTCTATTTATTCATTTTCTCTCCTTTAGTCTTAATATTTTTTTCCCCTTCTTATTCTTTTTTCTCCTTCCTTTCCCTTCACCTCAAATCTCTAATCATTTCCATTTTTTTCCTGTCCTATAAGGGCTTCTGGCTGATTCAGACAGCAAGTCCATGAACCGGATGGACTATTGACACAAATACTTTGGGTCGCTGTTTCACCTGCTCAGCCCAGAATGCAAAGCTGAGCGTGAGGTCTGGACTGGGGTCAGCTCCAGCACCCCTCACTAAGCCAGCTTGCACCACTGCCCTGGCAGTGATGTGCACTCTCTGGGCCCTGCTGGCACCTGGGTGCCTCTCTGCCTGAATGCTGGTCCAGAGTGAGCCCACTCCCAACACCTTCCTGTGGCTCTGAGGACATTTCCTTTCAATAAAGGCAGACACTGGCTCCAACAATCATCCTGACAGTAACTTCCTTCCTTCCCATTGAAGCCATGCCATTGCCCTGGTTTGGAGAGAGACATTTTCTCCCATTCACAAGCTTTCTTTTTCCCATATTCATGTGAAGCCCCCTCTGATTTTCAGTGGTGACTGCTCTGGTGAGATTGAATGGACTCGCTGGTGAAATACCATCTCTTTTTCCTGTCTTAGTCCTGCCTAAATTCCTACAAAAATATTTAAGCCAAGAACTCAGGCTAGTTACTACATTTATCATATGAATTTGTCACTCCTAGCAGGGAATAAAAGGGCAATTAATTCCCTTAAAGCATGTGGAGTGCCTCATGTGACAAATGATTTGACAGGGAACTCCCTACAGAAATATGTGGATATATATTTTATTCATGTGTATATATGCTATATATGGCATGTATATCATGTATACACATACTCCATTAGGTATGAATGAATGTGGATGGAAACCCACACACACACTCCAGTCTGTAAATATCCTTCCTCACTGAACCCTGTACTAGGAAATCATTTCTTGTACAGCTGTGCAGTTTCTTGTAGCAGCTAAAGACAGGTGGATAATTTAGACAAAGATCATCTAAAAGCTAGAGTACAGTATCTCCCTAGCAACTCACGAGGACAGACCACCAAATGGCAAGGCTGACTCCCAATGAGATGGCAAACTTTTCTTCTCTCCTTTTTGAATTTGTGTTTTCTAAGTGTGTCTTAACTTCTGAGTGCACCAGGCTGTACCCGTTAGATCCTTTAAATATAACAATTTTGTGCTTCTCTCTGACAGGATGTTTCTCAAATGAGCTGTAGTGCAGGATGGGAGGGAGGGGAAAATACTCCTTGTCTGGGCTGGAGTTTACTGAGACACTGCACAGCTTACATTCCTGTTAAGTGTAAATATTCAACACTTCCATTCCATTTGTGTAAAAAATAAAGCACACACAATTATAAAATCAAGATGTATATTTCATACTCCGTGTGTCTGTGCATATTTATTGCATTTCCTCAGTTGTCAGCAGTGACTCTACTGTAAAAATGCTGAATAGAGTGTTTATAAACATGTCATGGTTTTATTATCAGATATTAAAACATTTTTACACTTTATAGCAAATGGTTTTCTCCCAAAGCATAATTTGTCTTATTTCATAAAAAGAAAAAAAAAAAAACAGAATCACTCTTCTCTATTTTTATCATATTTGGCTC